CGGGCGGCGCGCGGCACCCTCGAGTCGAGTCCCCGCGCCAGGCCCCGGGGCGGGGCGGTCTCCGGGCGGGAAAGCGAGCCGGGGGCCCTCGCTCGGGGCGTGCGGAAACCCCTGCGGCAACCGCGGGGGAGGGGCCCGGGGATGGAGGGGCCGCGACCGGGCCCCTTTCCTGTCTCTCCTTCCTATATAGAAAGGCACAAGGTTTCCCTTTTCCGAGATTTCTTCCTGTCCAATTACATTTCGATCATCCCTTTCCTGGCATCTTGATGCAACTTGAAAGGGAGACAAGAGCTAGGGAAAAAGGTTGAGTTGGGGCCGAGCCCAGACAGCCAAGGTCCGGCCTCGAGTGGGGTGATCCCTCGGACACTTGGTTTGCCAAGTGTGGGATCGCTCTTGGACCGCCAGCTCGGGGCAGATTGGAGAGACTGAGTGAGTGAAGTAGCAAATCAATATTTCTTCTCGAAAAGACTGCTGAAAAATCCGGGGGCCTCATTTCAGGCTCCGAGCTACCCTGAATTTAAATTGACCATCATATAAATTACGCAATAGTCTATCCACATTTTGCATTTGTTGTGTAGAATGTTGAACTCAGTCTAGTTTTGGAGTATATTCGATGCTAATCAATCATTATAATGATTGGAATATTTAGCGTTGGTTATTTAAGGTAATATGCAAAAGTGAAAACACGTTTATTGTTTCATATTTATTGCAGCCATGGCTTTAAAAGGACAAGAAGATTATATTTACCTTTTCAAGGATTCAGCGCATCCAGTGGATTTTCTGGATGCATTCAGAACATTTTACTTGGATGGATTATTTACTGATATTACCCTTCAGTGTCCTTCAGGCATAATCTTCCACTGTCACCGAGCTGTTTTAGCTGCTTGTAGCAATTACTTTAAGGCAATGTTCACAGCTGACATGAAAGAAAAATTTAAAAATAAAATAAAAATCTCTGGCATTCACCATGATATTTTGGAAGGCCTTGTAAATTATGCATACACTTCCCAAATTGAAATAACTAAAAGAAATGTTCAAAGCCTGCTTGAAGCCGCAGATCTGCTACAGTTCCTTTCAGTAAAGAAAGCTTGTGAGCAGTTTTTGGTAAGGCACCTGGATATTGATAATTGTATTGGAATGCACTCCTTTGCAGAATTTCACGTGTGTCCAGAATTAGAGAAGGAATCTCGGAGGATTCTATGTTCAAGGTTTAAGGAAGTATGGCAACAAGAAGAATTTCTGGAAATCAGCCTTGAAAAGTTTCTCTTTATCTTATCCAGAAAGAATCTCAGTGTTTGGAAAGAAGAAGCTATCATAGAGCCAGTTATTAAGTGGACTGCTCATGATGTAGAAAATCGAATCGAATGCTTATATAATCTACTAAGCTATGTCAACATAGACATAGACCCAGTGTATTTAAAAACAGCTTTAGGCCTTCAAAGAAGCTGCCTACTAACCGAAAATAAGATACGATCTCTAATATACAATGCTTTGAATCCCATGCATAAAGAGATTTCCCAGAGATCCACTGCCACAATGTATATCATTGGAGGCTATTACTGGCATCCTTTATCAGAGGTTCACATATGGGACCCTTTGACAAATGTTTGGATTCAGGGAGCAGAAATACCAGATTATACTAGGGAGAGCTATGGTGTTACATGTTTGGGACCCAACATTTATGTAACGGGGGGTTACAGGACCGATAACATAGAAGCTCTTGACACCGTGTGGATCTATAACAGTGAAAGTGATGAATGGACGGAAGGCTTGCCAATGCTCAATGCCAGGTATTACCACTGTGCAGTCACCTTGGGTGGCTGTGTCTATGCTTTAGGTGGTTACAGAAAGGGAGCTCCAGCAGAAGAGGCTGAGTTCTACGATCCATTAAAAGAGAAATGGATTCCTATTGCAAACATGATTAAAGGTAAGTGCTGATTATGTTTATTCTAAATTTTTTAGGTGTCTGATGTTAGGCCAATGGTCTCACTTCTCTTGCAAATAATTTTAAAAAGAATTTATCACTTTGGAATGCTATCTAGGAACTATAGTGGATTATACAAATAATGTTGCACAGAATGTTCAGAGTAAAAATATAGTATAGCAGTCCCCAACTTTTCTGAGAGTTATGTAATTAGAGTAGGTTCCTCAGGCTAGAAAAGAATTATCATTTATTTAAGAAAACAGTATAATTCATTCTACTTACTCTATAGCCTGTTTTGAGCCTAGATCTTGCTTTGAGTCTCAAGAATTTATATTTAAGTCAAAGGCTAAATGAAGAGAGAAAGCTAGGTAGTTTTATTAGTTAACGTTTACTTTTTTTTTTTTCACTTGCTCTTGAAATTGAACCCTTTTCAATTCTGCTTTTAAATGTTTAGGTTTTTTTTCCTCTCATCATCTGATTCTCTCTCTTTTAAAAGGTCTTTCATTAAAACTGAAAGATTGGTCCCTGTAGGGTGTAACAAATTACGTTCTCTCAAAAACTAGAGACAAATAGCCTCTGCTTTTTTGATTCAAGTCTTGTCTCACAGAGTAAAGGAGAGGGGCAGATCCCATACCCTCCCTTATGTGGCCCTCACAGCCTGGCACACTATTGGGTTTCAATATCTGTCTGATAAATGCTGTATTTTCTGCTGTGTTTGGTACTGATTAGCCTTGCTCTCCCTCCCTCCTACTGGAAAAAAAGTTAAACTGGAATCTTATTTAGTTACATTTAATCATTGGTGCTGGGGAGTTGCACAAAAATAACTGATAGGTTACTAGATTTGTGTCATTCTATCCCAAATGTTTCTTCCCAGGACTTTCTGTTTCTTTTTTAACACTAGTGAGGGTGTGGGAATCTGACCTGGTCTGGGAATCTGACCCGATGTGATCCTTGGATGACAAGCAGGAAGCCTGAGAGGCAGAATGATCTTGTGATCAGGCACACTGCTTCTGAAGCCAAACTGCCTGGATCCAAATCCCCACTCTCCACTTACTTGCTGGTGAGCTTGGGCAAACTGTTTAATCTCGCTGTGCCCCAGTTTTGCCATCTGTATAAGGGGGTGACAACTTTACATAGCTTAGGGTTTTGAGAAGATTAAATGAATGTATGCATGTGAAGCACTTAGAACAGTGTCTGGTACAGAGAAAGCACTCAGTTAAGTGTTAGGCATTATTGTCATGAATGGCATTATAGAAGAACATGGCAGCTTTGATAGGGCAGGAACATCTTTCCTAAAATCACGACCACTCTCCTGCATGCCTAAGGTTCAGCAGTACTTGGAAGGGTGGGAGAAGGTGGCTTAAAGCCCGCTGCTGTTGCTGCTCTGGTTTTTCACTCTGCCTGAGCTGGACTCCCACTTACTGATTCCCAGTCCCCTCACCAGGGTGGTTCTGAATGTCCTGTCTGACTCCTCTTCTAAAAAAGACATGAGGAGAGTTTAAATATTTTAGCAGCTATTGTAAACCTGGATACATTTCTGCCTCTGTTTCTTAATGATGAGATAAGAGTTTTAGTGGTTTTGTAGTTTAAAGTATATTTCTTTGAGGATGGAAGTTTATTACTTTACGAAATTTTTTAGAACTTTATGTGAAACAATGCTTGCTAAGAAGAAAATTCTGCAGTGGGGTATCCACTGTGAAAGAAAGCCACGTGTGTTCTTTCCTTAGCCTCAAGTGGAACGGAAGACCCTCATACACCAAAGTCTTCCCCCCCTACCAGCTGGGTCTGAAATTCCAAAGTTTTATACTTTTAACATGAAGTTTTGATTCCTGATTATGTCTAATCATCCCAGGGAAGGGCGACACTTTGTCAGTTATGTGCAGTTTTGGCTAGTACTGGTTCTGATGGGTAGACTCATGCTGACCTTTTAGTTTCGCATTTTTCTGTAGAGAGGATAACATTGTTTTTCCCTTTTTTTTTTTTTTTTTTGTAGTCTTGAAGTGAACTAGCAGCTTTCCCTGGTAATGAAAACTTAAATTGGGTAGAGTCAAATTTTAAGTTCATTTCCTTTTTTGGTTTAGGGATGTACAGATAAAAAGTAAATACTTGGCTGTTTAGGAACTCCTAACTTTTTAATTTTCCCTCATCATAACTGCCCTGCTTATAAACTCACTTTTGTTTCGGAATAGAAATGAACAAGGAGATTGAACTGTACCCCGCATGTAATAGTGCTAAGTAGATGCTGGTTGAAAGACTAAACTGACATTTTCAACCAAAAGGAGCCTCATCATCTTTCTTCCTCTCTTCTTCCCCTGCTGAACCCATTTCTCCTCCTCCTCATTTTTCTATGGTATCAGTGTTTCCCCATTTTCCAAGCTCAGGACCTCAGAATTGGTCTTGTCTGTCTCTGATGCCAGTCATCAAGCCTGTCTGTTTTACCAGTGTCTCTTGCCTTGGCTCCCTTCTCTTCATACCCAAGGACCCTTCTAAATCAGGCCCTCGATACTTGGCACCCAGACCAATTCTACCTTTCCACCCTGGTAGTCCTTCCCTTCCTCGGTTTAAAAACCTTAAAAATCCTGCTGAATTAAGTCTAGATTTCTTAGTTGGGCATCAAGATCCTTTGCCATGTGGCTTCAATTACCATGCCAGCTTTAATTCCCACATGACAACCCTAGATATGCCACCCTCCCTTCTGGTGTGCCAGAATCAAACTGGGCTACTTGACATGGCCGAGTAAGCCTTTGCCCTTGCCTTTCCCTCACTTAGGATGGCTTCTTCTCACCTCTACCTGCCAAAGTCCTACATACTAAGGCCCCGGTCAAATTCTGCCACCTCCTGCCACGATTTCCCTAGTCAAAAGCAATGTCTCCTTGCTCTGAACATTCACAGTAGTTCTATACCCTGTGTTCTAATTATTTGTGTAAGTGTCTCACCCTCTTTTAAAAGACTGCAAGGAGGGCCGGCCCCATGGCTTAGCAGTTGAGTGCATGCGCTCTGCTGCTGGCGGCCCGGGTTCGGATCCCGGGCGTGCACCGACGCACCGCTTGTCCCGCCATGCTGAGGCTATGTCCCACATACAGCAACTAGAAGGATGTGTGGCTATGACATACAACTATCTACTGGGGCTTTGGGGGGAAAAATAAATAAATAAAAATTAAAAAAAAAAAAAAAAAAAAAAAAAAATAAAAGACTGCAAGGAGCCTTTCTTTTTCATTCTTCTGTCTCTCATAGCACCTAGCACAATGCCTTGCATCTACTAACAGTAAATAACAAAAACAATAATAAACTTAGCCCAATATTCATTGCAAAACAGAATGAAAGACCAATCTGAAGATGTGATTTTAATTAACATACAGGTGTGGGAAATGCTACTGCCTGTGTCTTACATGAAGTTATCTACGTCATTGGCGGCCACTGCGGCTACAGAGGAAGCTGCACCTATGACAAGGTCCAGAGTTACAATTCAGATATCAATGAATGGAGCCTCATCACCTCCAGTCCACATCCAGGTAACAAAATACTGTCTCAAATAGTACATGTCGTGATACAGCTTATCAGTATAAGAGATGGGTCAAGTGGGCTGGAAATAGAAAATGCTAAATGTATAGTAGACTACACATGGGTAGTTAATTAATTAATTAACTATTATTATTAATTAATTAATATATATAATTATATATTATATATAATTATATATATAGTAATTAATTAATTATTAATTAATTAAAAGGCTCAAAATATTCCTGTGTCCATTTAACAATAATAATTAGATTAGTCCGATTAAATCACGTCTATAAATACTTCCATGCTGTCTTTACACGACACACATTTTAAGCTTATGTGGTTAAAAGTGGTAGTTTCTTTTTAAATTTCTTTCACTTATATTCTTTTTTTGTGTGTTTCCTATTCCTTTGTTATGTGCTTTCTTTCATTTACATGCATTATATAAAACACAATTTTTATAGATAGTTAAAAAGCACTAGTCTAGGGCCGGCCCCGTGGCTTGGCGGTTAAGTGCGCGCGCTCCGCTGCTGGTGGCCCAGGTTCGGATCCTGGGCGCGCACCGACGCACCGCTTCTCTGGCCATGCTGAGGCCGCGTCCCACATACAGCAACTAGAAGGATGTGCAGCTATGACGTACAACTATCTACTGGGGCTTTGGGGGAAAAAAATAAATAAAATTAAAAAAAAAAAAAAAAAAGCACTAGTCTATCAAATCGTTGGGAAGGGTACCTGTTGATTCAATTCCCCAGGAGATGGTTTCCTCTTTTAGAAGCACATTCTTTCTGGGTTTCAGTGACTATTGAGCACTCACTCCTACGATGTGCAGAGCCTGTGTTGGCCTTACTTTAACAATCATAAAGGCAGTGTGTTGTCTGCCCACAAGGAATGGCCTGCCTTCTGTGGTGACTTTTGTTCTTTGACATGTCTCTTTGTGAAGAGGGGGAAGTGTAAATGATAGCCTGTTACAGTTATGCCACGTTTAAGTTTTTTTCTTAATCTTTTAATCTTTTTGGGAAAGATTCATAGCACCATATACTTTGAGTCATTTTCCATATAGCATCAGGCTTCTGTGTGGGTCACTGGAGAGTGTCATTGAAATTCACAAGCTTGAACCATCTGAGAGTAATAGTAATAGCTAACCTTCTTGAGCACTTTCCATAGGACAGGCACTGACTAAGCACTTTGCATGTAATATTATCTTAAATTCTAACTACAACCCTGTGAGTAGGTATTGTTTACCCCTGGTTTACATATTAGGAAGCGGAAGCTTCGAAAGGATAAGTGACTTTGCCAAGGTCACACAGTTTGGAAGTGGTAGACCAGGGTTCAAATTCAGGCAGTCTGACTGCATAACCTGTACTGTAACCACTAAGCAGTCTGCCTCTCCTTAAGGGATCAGGCTCTCCTGCTTTTGACCAGTGTAGCTGCTTCCACCCGTACATCATATGTGTCATCTCACAGTTCAGGTGGAGTCTGGTGCTGCATCTCCATATGCCATGAGCTTTGCATAAGAAGAGACGTCAGCTGCAGGCTGTCCTGGCTCTGAAGACATCATGGAATGGGTAGCCTTCTGTCTCCTAGTAGCCCAGATGTATTATGTCACACTCCCCACCACTTTCTGTTATGACCAATGAAATTATAACGGAAAATAATAATAATAACTCATATTGAGTAATAGCTAATATTTATTCCATAAGTATGTGCCAGGCAATAACTATTCCAATAATTTTACATGTATTAATCCAAATCTCAGGATTGCTGAGCTACGTACTACTATTATCTCATTTTACAGGTCACTGAGGCAGAGAGAGAGTGAATAAATTGCCCAAGGTCAGCCAGCTAGGGCTTGTTAGAGGTGAGGTTCAAATCCAGGCAGTCTGGGTGGGAGCCTATGCTCTAACAACTACACTGTTAACTTCATTTGATCCTCATGTTAACCTTATGAGTTAGATATTCTCTGACTTATCTTTACAAAGAAAATTCAGTATGTGAAAAGTCAGATTAAGAAATTAGAGGGCAGTTATTTACATTACAAATTTAAATATATTTCATAAAAGAGTTCCTTTAAAAATAAATGTCCTGTAACATATTTAAGTTGCATATAGCTTGTTAACTGCTTGAAAGAGAGTCTAAAAGGCAGTGAGACTTAAGCCAAAGTTTGAAAAGCCATGGAAAATTGAAAAATCAATCAGAAATAAATATTAAATTACAATATAAATCAATGGGAACAGATAATTCCATTTGTAAAGTTTTGATTTACATTGGAATTTTCCCTGACGTAATGTAAGAAACAAAGGTATCAAATTAGAACACTGTATGGTATGTTCTGTTTGGCTCTTACAGGGTTTAAATATGTTTTAACTGGCTTGTTACCAATATTTAAAATTCAAGAGATTTCAAATAAAAATCGTGATTTCTGGCTTTTAGAAAAATTGGGAGATCTGGCAACCTTGGACCATATTCCTTCCTGGCAGCAATCACTGTGGCCACGTAGTGTCTCTTCCCTGTAGATGAGGCTTGTATGCTCCTTCTCACCAGTCTCTCCCATTCTCATCACATCACAGACCTAAGGGGCCCATGTTGTTGTTTTTCTTACCCCTGGCCTGCTTCATTCAGCTGGTCTGTTATCTCCTCAGCCCTTGATGGCTTTTGGATCTACATCTTCTGAATTATAGCAAGGTATGCTTCTCATGCATTTTAGGGGCACCTCCTGAGGAACATAAAATGTCAGTCTTGAGTCTGTCTTATAGATACATAGCTTAGACTGAAAAGAAATGACTGTTGTTATTTTTAAAAGGTAATATAAAAGTTATCTTTTTTCTTAATGCCTTTAAGGATAGTAGCTTTGTATAGTTGAAAAACAGAGGACTATAATTCCATTAAATTCAGTAAAACATTTATTGAGACCTTACCTTGGAAAGATACTATTCTAGTTATTATGTAAGACACAAAGATGATTAAGAGCTAGTCTCTACTGCCACAGGAACTCAGGATCTAGTAGCAAATATACATACATAAAGAGAATACAAGGAAGGTTACAAATAAGTGCTATTGAAATTGAAGGTAGAGAGAGCTTGAATCTAATTAGGGGGAATCTGGCAATCTCAGAAGGCTTCCAGGAGTAGGTTGTTATGCTTTAGGTCTTAAAGAATGGCTACTGTTAAGGAAGTTTTTGAGGAAGAGTTTTCTGGCAGAAAGTTAGCCAATAAAAGAAGGCAGAAGGGAAAGTCAGAGTTATTCCAGTACCTGGAAGCAGATGTACATGAATGAGATTTAAGAGGGTACAACGAGAGACTGGATGGAAGAGTTCAGTTGAGGAGCATATCATGGAGGGCTTTGGGTGGCAGTCGGGAGAATTTAGAAAATGGAGAACTATCAAAGGTTTCAGAGCAAGAGAATGATGTATGATCAGTTCTAGTTTTAAGAAGAGAGCTCCTTTTAGAATAGATTGGGAGAAAGACAGATGGCAGGGAGATCTGCTAAAACTATTGTAATAAACGAGGTGAGAAATACTGAAAGCCTGAAGTGGTAGGAGTAGAAAATGGGCAGATGTGAGGAATAGTGTAGATTCAACATTGATTGAACTGGTAGTGATTGCTACTTTGCATAGGAGATGAGGGAGAGAAAGGAGTGGACAGTCATTCCAGGCTCTCCGGCTGGTTGACTGGGAGGATGGGAAGCATCGAAGAAGCAGCCAGTAGGAGGGGAGAAGAGGAAAGATGATGAGCTCAGTTTTATAGTTAAATTTGAAGGACTAGTTGGATAACCCAGAAGAGCTGTCCAGCAAGCAGTGGGAAACGTGGGTCCGCAACTCAGGAGGAAGAATGTGGCTAAATATGGAGATCTGGGAGTTGTTTGCTTGGAGATGATCGCTTTGCCTGTGGTGATGAATGATATGCCTTAGGAAGGTGGGACCAACAATACGGCCATGGGCAGAATCTTTGGAAACAGCGTTAGTTAAGGGATGAACTGAGGAAGAAGAGTGCATGAAGAACAGGGAAGAAGCAGTAAGTGATAAAGGAGAAAAAGCTGTGGAGAGCTGGTCACGTGGGGAGAGGGTTCTCTCCTGGCTCTGCCATTTATTTACTTGCCTAGTCTTGGGCAGTGGCTTAAGCTCTGGGGTCTTACTTTCCAGTAAAATAAGGAAGTGAGGTTAGATAAGCTTTACAGGTCTTTTCAATGAGAAAAATCTTAGGAAAAAAATTTTAAATCATTTCCTTGGATATTGAATACCTGAAAATATTGTGGTTGTCTAAATACCTACATGGCTTTGTCCATATCACTCATGTAACACTGAATACAGACTGCCATGTATTTATATGAATATTCATGTGTAAACTCTTTGAGCCGTGACATATGGTGCCATTCCCATGTTTGGTTTGAAATTGTTCATTCATTCGTCAGCAGATATTTGCTGAGAGCTTCCTACCTGCTATGTGCAGTGCTAGGAGCTCAATAAACAAGATACAGTGCCTTAGCCTCAGCAGCTTCATAGAGTGACCAACAAGAAAAAAGGCAGTTACAGCTGAGGAAGAAAAAGTTTCCAGCTTTCCTGAGGAAGAAAAGGTTTCCATAACAAAACATTATGTTATATTTGGGTAACAGGGGAAAAACTATCAGGAATCACTTTATTTTAAACATTTTACTGCTATAGGAAGATTGAAATAACTCTCTTAACATAAGAATCACAAATTGAAGATTTTTTGTAAACTTTGAATAATTCAAGAAAAGCCTAGTAACTCATTGTTGAATCAGTCACACTAACTGACAGAATTTTTGAACCATCATTAATTTTCACAATAACCACTTGATGGAATGAGTAATATAATTTATATAAACAATATTACACAAGTACTTGAAACAACTAAATCCTATAAAAATCCTACATGTATATAACTGGAAAGTAACAAATGAGTTTTTCAAAGGTGGAAGAATTCTTATTTTCTTGGATGTCAGAAACTTAAGAATAACAGTATGTGGACTCAATGAAAATGTCCATCTTCTGAGATTTTCTTAGCCTTCAAAACCTAGATAGCAGGAACTTTAATGATAAGAGTTTGTCTTCCATACTTAAAGGGGAAATCACATTTCTGATCATACATTCTCTCTTTCTAAACTGGGGCTTATAAGCTTTTCTTCCACAAAATAATGGGAGTGCATTTTGGGGCCTAGAGGATACAAGGTGCAGTTCATCCATTGATCCAGCAAACATGTACTGAGTCCTTACAAGGTGCCAGACACTTGCCATTCTCCAGTTGGTAATGGAGTAGTGGGCAGGACACAGTTCCTGCACTGTTAGAAGGGGGAGAGAGACAGTAAAGAAGAAACATATCAGATAATGACAAGTGCTATGGAGAGAAGTAAAATAGGGTGATGTGGTAGAGATGCCTGACTGGCCACCTCAGGTTGGATGGTCAGGAAAGGCCCCTCTGAGGATGACCTGAATGACAAGGAGGAGGCAGCTGTGCAAAGACCTGGGAAAAGAAGAGACGTGCAGCTCAGCAATGGCAAGCAAAATCTTTATTTATTTGCTGTAGTAATAGTGCCACTGGCAAATCCTGCTCTTCCTTCAGGTCTGCAGCTAGAAGTATTTAAGTGTAATCTTATGGTTGATATTCCCAGAGAATGAACTCAGAGGCTAGTAGTGATGCTAGAAATGGGGGCGTGGAAGATCAGGGCTGGGACTAGGCTGAGCAAGGGAGCCGCCTGAGGCACAGAACTGAAGGAGTCACTCAGTCACTCAGAGAGTGAGAGCCTCCTTCCATTTAGGACTCTAGGCACCTCACTTGCCTCACCCTAGTCACAGCCCTGGGAAGAAGAGAGAGGAGATGAAGTTGCAAAAGATCCTTGTACCTTGAAGAGCCAGCAGGTTTGGATGTGGAGGGGGAGATAAATAAAATGGGAGGCGGAGGCAGACTCCCAGCCCTGGGACCCAAACCTCACACAGCAGCCCTCTGCCTTTGAGCACCTTTCACAGCTTCTTATGATAGACTGTAGTTTCCCACTAATGTAACTGTGTGTTTTTCTAACTTCTTGTGTCAAGACCAGCAGTGTGAGAGAGACAAGCAAGGTAATCTGTCTGGCACCTGTGGCAGCAGACACTACAGATTGCCTGCCACTGGTTACAGGGATAGCTGCTAAGGCCTGAAGGAACCTACACCAGTCACCTAGTGTGTCTTCATGTCAGAGGGACTCTACTGCCACCATCTTTTACACATACGTGTAGAATAAAAGGTGTCTGTGCTGGGAAATTCCCAGAAGGGCGGTGGTCTGAGGATGAGTTCTTCTTTGACATCCTGCAAAGCCAGTTTAAGGATGACCTGAGAGAGAACTGCAGGACAGGTAATCTGAATCAGGTGATGGGGAATGGATTTTAAGGCTCAGTTGCGGTAGTGTGTGCTGGAATCAAAATGTCACGATTGCTCTATTTTCGTATGCTGAATTGTGAAGAATTATTACATCACTATCCTAACATATCTCTTTTGTTTGTTATCCTAATAAAAATTTGCTTTTTTCTTTTTAATAGAATATGGATTGTGTTCAGTTCCATTTGAAAATAAGCTCTATCTAGTTGGTGGACAAACTACAATCACGGAATGCTATGACCCTGAACAAAATGAATGGAGAGAGATAGCTCCCATGATGGAAAGGAGGATGGAGTGTGGCGCTGTCATCATGAATGGATGTATTTATGTCACTGGGGGATATTCCTACTCAAAGGGAACATATCTTCAGAGCATTGAGAAATATGATCCAGATCTTAATAAGTGGGAAATAGTGGGTAATCTTCCAAGTGCCATGCGGTCCCATGGATGTGTCTGTGTGTATAACGTCTGATTGAATCCATAGAAATGACCAAGTAATCACTCTTTCGGGGTGTAGTAAAAAAGAATGCAGGGTGACCGGGCACATAATAGGTAAATTCTCACTCTATACCCCAACCCAGTGATTAATGGTCAAGAAAAATCTTATGTATATTTACAGTTGAATCAGTGGGGTTAACACCTATAATCTCTGCTTTTCAGAGGTGATATGGAATGTTGGACACTTGGTAAAAGGTAAAATACCTTTGTAGTGAATTTCTTCTCCTGGTAGCATCAACACTGGGTGTTAAGTCAAAATCATTCTGTGGAATGAAATGTCTCTTATAACCCTGTAATGTACTAGACAGTGTACAGTAAGGTTCCATTTAGCTAGCAAGGAATTTGAAATTTAAGGAGGGAATCTTCTCTACCTCTACAAAATCAACACTTAAAGAAAATTTTTTTCATCTTTTTTTTTTTTTTTTTTTTTTTAAGATTTTTTTTATTTATTTTTCCCCCCAAAGCCCCAGTAGATAGCTGTGTGTCATAGCTGCACATCCTTCTAGTTGCTGTATGTGGGACGCGGCCTCAGCATGGCCGGAGAAGCAGCGCGTCGGTGCGAGCCCGGGATCCGAACCCGGGTCGCCAGCAGTGGAGCGCGCTCACTTAACCACCAAGCCACGGGGCCGGCCCCTTTTTTCATCTTTAGAATTATTTAGTATGTGGACTTACTTTAAGTCTAGTTTTTTTTCTTTGTATTGTGTATAATTTATTGTTATTGTTCTTTATTTACTGACTACCAGAGATATACAAGATACTGTGCAAAAGATTATTACTGTTTAGAGTTTACAAAGTAAATTTAAAAGAATGGCAAATCTGAAAAATTGCAGAGAAAATAGTCAAACATTTCCTGATGTTAAGAGCTATTTTTAATTTTTAGCTTTGCTGTAAATTGCTGGTTTAGGGGTCTTTAGTTTAACCATGTTAGAAAATCCTCTTTATTCTTAAGTATAGATATATGTCTGCTTATAAAATTGAATTTTAGAGTCAGAAAGCATGTAGAAGAGTTGTGATATAGTAGAAAATACATTGATGAGAAAAAAGTCTGCATTCATTTCCCAGCTCTGCCACTAACCAGATTTTGTGACTTGGGTTGAGTCACCTAACTGCTCCTCAATTAGGGCTTCCCCACACATGCACATTGGCACTTTGGGTCATAGACATGCCTACATGTGGATCCCCATAACCCTTGGGGCAGCCAGAGGTGGCCTGGGTGGCTGGTGCTTCTCGGCCAGAAACACCTTTGTCCGTTTTCCCCAGTGTGCCTACAACATCACTCTCCAGGTGGGCCATAACTTGAGAAAAGTTGGGAAGCAATGCTTGAGTTAACTCATCTAAATTTTTAGTAATCTGTTAGACCATCTATCCACCCTCTTCATTTTTTTAAAGAGACAATTATTTTTAACTGTAAATCTAGAAGTTTAAAACTACCTGATGCTTCTGATTTTTTTTTTAATTTTAGAAAGAAACTGTTTAATGCATTCATTTCAGATGTTATTTTAAATAGATATAACCCTTTGGGAATGCAGTATAGTATCACATAGAAAGAGCCATAAAAATGACCATACTTTGCCCCATAAATTTTACTCCTAGATTTGTAACCTAAAGAATAATATAAAAACAAAACAAACAAAAATGGTGAATGCACGAGGATGTTTGTCTGCATTATTTATAATAGCAAAAAATTAGAAATAATCTACCTGTCAAAGAAGAAAGTGGGCTAATAAAAATAGTGAAGTATTATACTACCATTAAAATAGTTATTTGGAAGACTGTAGAAACTTGGATGTGTCTGTGATATGGTAAGTAAAATAAGCACAATACAAAATAGTCTGCACACTATGATTGTGACTTTGTAAAATCTTTATGCATGTAGACGGTAATATGCAAAACAAATTCATTGTATTAGTGTACGGGATATGGAATGATTTTTAATTTATTTAAATGTTTTTCTTTAATATTACTTTGTATTTCCAATAAAAATAAATAAATCACTGTGTATGTGGTAAAACTGCTTGAATTTGGGCAAGTTGAGTTGAAAGTCTGAATTAGTCAAATAACTGATTTATAGACTACTTTATTGCTCTCAAGAACATTGAGCGGGGCTGGCCCCGGTGGTGCAAGCGGTTAAGTGCGTGCGCTCCACTGCGGCGGCCCGGGGTTCGCCGGTTCGGATCCCGGGCGTGCACCGACGCACCGCTTGGCAAGCCATGCTGTGGCGGCGTCCCATATAAAGTGGAGGAAGATGGGCATGGATGTTAGCCCAGGGCCAGTCTTCCTCAGCAAAAAGAGGAGGATTGGCAGATGTTAGCTTAGGGCTGATCCTCCTCACAAAAAAAAAAAAAAAAAAAATGAGCAATTAAGGCTGGACCAATAATATGTTGCCCAGTAGTGCTTTAGAGATCTGTTTTATGGAATAGATAAGAACAATTGCAATCACCTTCCCCTCCTTTTAGCTTATCTAAGTCCTATAAAATCTTGACTCAAGTCCAACTTCTGGGAATTCTTTCCTGACTCTTTCAGCCACAGTAAAACTCCCATTGTCACATTTAAGGAATTCATCATTTATATATGCATAGTATGTCTCTTGCCTAGTTTTGAGATCATGGATCACGTCTTATTCTTCGTATTCTCAAGGTCTAGCAATTCATTTGTATATCCAGCATACTTTTTTGAAGGATGATGGTATCGAATATTTTTATAGAAAAGCATTCTGGAGGTGCTTGAGGGATCTTGAAAATAGTTTGTGATCTGAGGCATTTATAAAATCTGCAGCTCCTCTTTTTTGTAAAACCCTTTTTTGCTGCTGATTTGTGCACACAAGAAAGGATTAAGGAAGGTAAACATTTCTTTCAGAATTATCCCAAGTTCCAAATTACTATAGTATGAATGAAAAATATTTTACTATAATTGAATGCAAGCCATTGCTTTGGGTGGGCAAACACTATTTTACAAAATAATTAAAATTGTGGAGATGATTTTAAGCATGACTTAAGAGTCTAAGTATCCACATTTTATAAGTTGCTATTTCTCACAAGTCTTAGTTGTTAGCTGCAACGGAAATAGGATCAACAACTAGGGTACTTGCTTAAAGGCACATCAGCCTTTATTTTCACATTCATGTAAATATATGCTTGCGTTATAGACTGAATGCTTGTGTCCCCCAAAATTCACAGGTTGAAGCCCTTACCCCAATGTGGCCGTATTTGAGATACAACTCATATGGAAGTAATTAAGGTTAAATGAGGTCATAAGGGGAGAGCCCTGATCCTGATAAGATTAGTGTCATAAGAGACACCAGAGAACTTTGTCTCTCTCCCCGCCTGGTGGGGACACAGCGAGAAGGTGGCCATCTGCAAGCCAGAAAAAGCACTCTTACCAGAACCTGACCATGCTGGTACCCTGATCTCAGACTTCCAGCCTCCAGAATTGTGAGAAAAATTTCTGTTTTTTAAGCCGCCCAGCCTATGGTATTTTGTTATGGCGGCCTGCGCTGACTAATACAGCCTGCAAAGGAGACAGCCCTTTATATGATGCAGTATAAGTGCTGGATCAGCCAGTAGTAGACAGTCTGTTCCCCAGACAATCTCCCCTTCCTCTCCCCACTCCCCACACACAAAGCAATCAAAAACAGTCTGACAATGTCTGAAAGTATAAGTACAACTTCATTTCTTAGGTTATAGTAGATGCAGCGAGGGGTTTCTATCTGCCTAGTTCTCCCAAAGACCGTGTCTGCCGATGCCCTAACTCTCTCCCTATGGGACACTTATACTTGGGCTATCATAGCATCTCATCCCCAGCCACAGTGGTGAGTCCAGAGCTATGGTTGGCCAAGTTTCCTGCTATGAGGACTAAGGTTTGAGTTAAGAGAACTGATAAATAGAAGGCTCAGTGACTACGGAGGAGGGATGACATTGACATCTTGGTTCTAGGCCTTCTCGATGCAGCTCCATTCCTGTCTTTTCCATAGTTTAAATTATGTGAACCAACAGGTCCTTTTTCGTTGTGAGTTGGGTTTGTATCTCTTGCAACCAAAAGAGCTCTGACTGATATCAAGCTAATGTTAAAATGTAAATACTTCTTGGATAACGTATTAGTTTTCTATTGCTGCTGTAACAAATGACCACAAACTTAGTTGTCTAAAACAATACGAATTTATTGTTTTATTGTTCTGTAGGACAGAAGTCTGACACAGTCTCACTGTGTCAGTTTTAGCAACCTTGATTCCATCTGCAACCTTTGCACATAACCTAACATATTCACAGGTTCTGGGAATTAGGTCTTGGACATCTTTAGGGGACCGTTATTCTCCCTACCACAGATAGTAATATATTAAGTCTTATTTCAACTTTTGCAACTCCACGTGGTTGAATTTATCTTTTTCTTTTCTGAGAGGAGGTTCTGATAGAAAGAAAAAGAAGAAAACATGATGGGTTCAGGAACCCCTGAGAACTGGAAGGTAGACGGTAGATAAAAACAGAGAAGTTGGTGACAGGGTCATTAACCATTAGACCATTCTGCAAAGGGCTGGCCTTTCTAGCCTGAAAACAAAATATACAAGAAAAATCGTTGTAATTATGTCAAAGATATAGATAGCATGGGGCCGGCCCCGTGGCATAGTGGTTAAGTGCGCGCACTTGGCTTCTGGCGGCCTGGGTTCGGATGCTGGGCGCGCACCGACGCACCACTTGTCAGGCCATGCTGTGGCAGCGTCCCACATAAAGTGGAGGAAGATCAGCACAGTTGTTAGCTCAGGGCCAGTCTTCCTCAGCGAAAAAAGGAGGATTGGCATGGATGTTAGCTCAGGGCTGATCTTCCTCACACACACAAAAAAGAAAAAAGATACAGATAGCCAACCCTACAACCCTTCTTTGCTGGCAGGGAAGAGCTCCAGGTCCTTTTGTATATTTGGATGACATGCATGTTGAATCTTAATTAGTCTAAGCCCGTTATGGCTATTCCGTCCTCCTTGTCAGTGTTTGGTTTAGGAATATGTTGGAAACAATTCTAACCTTTAAGACATGAGAAATCTTCTGGGGGTCTTCCATCGGGGGTGAAATTTTTTTTGTTTTGGTCCTAGGAGATGAATAGGAAGACTTAACATGGTAAATATCTCACCTTAATATACAAAGTCTTTTCTTACAATTTGTTCACTAATTATTATTAAATGTCAACAAGTAGGACAATCCCAAAGTACTTCATACTATCAAGTATTTCATAGGTTCTTTAGCCATAGCAGTCACAGTTGGACAGCTAAAAAATAGAGCAGTGTAAGACAAGAACATTATTTTTATAGAATTATAAAATATCAATACCGATATTAAAGCTTCACTAATTATCACAATAGTTAAGAACATAACTTACTAATACTTCATGTTTGAAGGGCTCAATATGAAACT